CTCCCCCTGCTTGTGTTCCCTCTCTCGCTGTGTCACTCTCTGTCAAATAAATAAATAAAATCTTAAAAAAAAAAGTGCCTAGTGTAACTGAAGAACTAAATATTCTTTTTTAATTTAAAGTCTTTTTTAAAAAGATTTATTTGAGAGAGAGACGGAGAGCACATGAGCAGGTGGGGGAGGGGCAGAGGAGAGAGAGAAGCAGACTCCCCACTGCGCAGGGAGCCTGACGCAGGGCTCGATTCCAGGACCCTGAGATCATGACCTAAGCCCAAGGCAGATGCCCAACTGACTGAGCCATCATGTAAATGTAAATAGTCGCCCGATAAATGTAAATAGTCTCTTAGAACCAGTAGCTACTACACTGAACAGTAGAGTTCCATAGTCTGGAACTGAAAAGAATTTCCTTTCTTTCCTTGGGTTATGTTTCTCTTCTAGGTCTGTCTTTGCATGCTAGGTTCTTCTGTTGTTTTCGCAATAGTGTTTGTCTAGTTGCTTAGTCATTTCTTTTCATTTCCATCATGCTTGAATCGCTCTGTCCATGTTAGATGCTCTGATATAATATGTTGACTCTTTCTCCCAGTATCTGACATCAGTTCATTTTTTCCTCAGAAAAAGACAGGCTTTCCTGTAACCAAGAAGAAAGATGGGGGAGGGAACAGAAGGAGGGAGGTAGATAGGTGGTTTCAGCTGAAACCGTATGCTGTATTTTTTGGAATTCCTAGACTAGGAAATTCTATTCGTTATTTTATATCAGGATTTATACCACCTACTTGGCAGGTTTGTGGGGAAGGATGTGGCTTATACCACTCCCAAAGACCAAGAAAATTTCCTCTGTAGAGAATTAGTCCTACTGTTCACTTTCCCCACTTCCCCTGTTTCCCCCCTTTCCCCTCAGCAGCCATTTCCCTATTCCTCACTCAAAAGAGGAAAAAATCTAAATATCTACTGAATGTACTTCTCTCTAGTTTTGAGAATATAGGTGAAAATCCTCAGGGTTTGGTCAATTCACCAATATGGATTTTGGTTGTAGGGCAAGGCAGAAGCTAAACTATGCTGTGCCCCCCACCCCCCAGCTGAGCTAAAGAAGTACACTGCATTAAGTTATACTTCTTCCTTACTGCTGTAAGTTTCTTTTTTTTTTTTTTACTTACTGATTTGACTGCTTTTTACTCATTCTATGGAAAATTCCAACTGCCCATTTTAATCTGAATATACCAGGTTAACAGAGCTTCTAGGGGCACCTAGTTCAGTCAGTGGCACATGCAACTTGTGGTCTCAGGGTTACGAATTTGAGCCCCACATTAGATATTATTTTTAAGTAAAAAATAAAATCTTAAAAAAAAAAAGTACTTCTTACTACTTTAAACCTAACTGAATACAGGACCAGTTTGTTTTGAGCCTAGAAATGACTATCTGTGCACAGTGGATTGGAATAGGAAAACTGGAAATACAAGTACCATTTAAAACCATTATGGTAATTCTAAAAGAGGAGATGGGGCCCTGGCCCAGCATAATCCCTCTTGTTCATTCCTTTGCTGTCTATACTCCAGCCATACGAACATTCTTCCAGGTCCTTAAATGTATCAGGTAGGTTTTCCCCTGCCTAAGGTCTTTGACATACTCTTCCCCTCGCCTGAAATACACTTTCCCCTTTCTTTACTTGGTAAGAAAGGGGAAAGGAGGCTTGCCCTAATCCTCCAAATTAGGCCAGCCCCCTGTAGTGTGTTTTCATTTACACTACTTTTCCTTCAGACCATTAATCACAGTATATAATTCACTCCACTTATCAAATATGTAATTATGTATTTGGCCATTATTTCATTAATGCTGCTTTGGCCACTAAATTCTAAACTCTAAGAGGGCAGAGACAGTCTTTGCTCACAAATGTCTAATGGCTGGGAAATCATTAGAATATTACTTAGCACAAAATACTCAATAAATGTGGAATGAATGAAGGAATGAATGGGTAACTGGGTGACTTAATAAAGGATAACTCAATTTTTGATGCTAGGTGACACTAGCAATGTGACTGAAAGTTAAGAGGAAAAACTGAGGTAGTGTCAAGGCAATTCAATGGGGGAAAGGATAGTCTTCTCAACAAATGACAACTGGATATTCATATACAAAAAAATAAACTTGGGCCCTTACCTCACATAATATTTAAAAATTACTCAAGACGAATCAGCAAACTAAATGTGAAAGGAAAAATAAAATAAAAATAAAATTTTTAAAACAAAAAACCAGGAAAAGCTCTTTAAAGCTTGGGGCTAGGGGCACCCAGGTGGCTCAGTCAGTTAAGCTATTGCCTTCAGCTCAGGTCATGATCTCAGGGTCCTGGGATCAAGCCCCTCATCAGGCTCCCTGCTCGGCGGGGAGCCTGTTTCTCCCTCTCCCTCTGCAGCTCCCCCTACTTGTGGTCTCTCGCTCTCTGTCAAATAAATAAAAATAAAATCTTAAAAAAAAAAAGTTTGCAGCTAGACAAAAATTTTTGATATAACACCAAAAGCACAATCCATTAAAAAATTTTTGACAAATTGGACATCATCAAAATTCAAAACATTTGTACTTCAAAAGACAGCATTAAGAAAAAAAGACAGCATTAAGAAAATGAAAAAATGTCAAAGACTAGAATATTAGCAAAACACATCTAATAAAGAATTTGCATCTAGAATTTACAAACTTTCCTAATTCAATAAGAAGACAAACCTAATAAAAAAAATTAAAAAATTTTTAAAAAAGCCATTTCACCAAAGATATCCAAATGGCATAAAAGATGCTAAACATCATTAGTCATTAGGGAAATACAAATCAAAACCACAATGAGATACCACTTCACACCCACCAGAAAGGCTATAATCAAAAAGACAGACAATAATAAACACTGGTGAGCATGTGGAAAAATTAGAACCCTCATATGTTGTTGGTGGGAATATTAAATGAGGCAATCACTTGAGAACGCAGTTTGGCAGTTCCTCAAAATGTTAACAAATTACCATAAGACCCAGCAATTCTACCCCCAGGTATCTACCCAAGAGAAATAACACATATCCAAACAAAAATGTGTACACAAATGTTTATAGTAGCATTATTCAGAATGGCCAAAAAGTGAAAACAATCCAAATATCTATCAAGTGATAAAATGGATCAACAAAATGTGGTATAGTTAAACAATGGTATACTGTTCCACAATTTAAAAAGAATGAAATACTGATATATACTAAAACATAAATGAACCTTGAAAACATAACTCTAAGAGAAAGAAGTTAACATAAAAGACCACATACTGTATGATTCTATTTATATGACATGTCCAAAAAGGGCAAATTTATGGAGATCTGCCTGGGAATGAGAGTAATTAATTGGGGTATTAAATCTAAGTAGCCAAGAGGAACCTTTTAGGAATGATGAAAATGTTCTAAAACTGGAGTATGAAGATAGTTATACAACTCAGTAAAGCTATTAAAAATCATTGAGTTGTACAATTAAAACATGAATTTTATAATATACAAATTATGTTTTGATCAAGTTAATTTTGTTTTAAACTAGGGGAGCTGGGGGATGCACACAGGATAGTAGCAATATTGGGTTTTAGACTTGCTCAAGCTGTTAACATGATGGCCAAGTGTCTGGGACAATCAGAAGATTGACAGAGATACTAGACTATAGAGACCTAGTAATACAGATTTTGGAGTCAACAGGAAAGACATGACAAAGGGACTTTTATACATGTCTTCAACTCTGTACAAATCAATCTACCCTGAAAAGATTTTCACTTGACTATGCTAATTTTCTATTTTTCCTTTTCAAAGTTCTTCAACCAATGATCTTTATCCATTGCTTTCATTTCCTCCACTACCCCATTCTTTTTTATTTGCTCCAAGTCTGTGTTCCTTCCTTACCTCATTGTTGAAGCTATTCTCTCAACTAATAATACCCCATTTTCAAAACCAATGGCCTTTACTCTACTCCCATTCTTTTTAACTTACTTGCAAGAAGCCTTGTCCAACTCTGACCCATGAAACTCATCTCTTAGCTTTTATTACCTTATACTATTTTTAGTCCTCTTCCCACTTCTCTACTTGTTTTATTTACCAAATACTTTTACCTCCCACCCTCACTCACACTTTATCAAAATAAGGAAGAACTTATGCTCCAAAAACAAATGAGAATTTGGTATTTATCTCTCTCTTCTTCTCACAAAATCTGTTTATTAATCCCAACCAGCTTCAAGTTACCATAGTGTCTTCACCTCCATTTATTGTCCTTATGGTATTTTTCAGGCCTTTGTTCTACTTTGACAATAAGAAAATAAATTCAGAGAATATTAACTTAGCTTTTCCAATTTTGAGACCACCAAAAGCAATCCATGCAGAATTATATGTACAATGAAGGGAATTCAGTATCTGTTTGTAACTCATTAAAAAACAAATGGGATTATCCTAAGCAGATCCCTAGGAAGATATTTTTCCCAGTTTGAAAACTTTATTTTAAACAAAATTAGAGGGTGCCTGGGTGGCTCAGTCGGTTAAGCATCTGCCTTTGGCTCATATCATGATCCCAGGGTCCTGGAATCAAGTCTAGAATCCGGCTCCCCGCACAGTGGGGAGTCTGCTTCTCCCTCTGCCCCTCCCCTCTACCCCTCCCCCCTGCCCATGCTCCTGCATGCTCGCGCTCTCTCAAAAAATAAATGAAAATCTTATAAATAAATAAATATAAACATAATTAGAAAACTAAGAACTTTGTGTGATCTTTTCATATATACATTTAAAGGTATAACAGTTTCCTGGCAATTAACTTATGCTCAGATGACTAATAATATTCAAATTAAAAATGTTAAAGTTCTAGAAAGCCAACTAAAATTTCTCAATTTTAAAATTTGGTATCACAAAGCACAAAACTATAAATCTCAAGTAACATTACAAACACGCGGCTCTAGGCTATTCTCCTATAGACTGTTTCAGTCAAATTTTATTATCTTCAAAAAATTAATAATAACTTACCAAATCCCAAAGTCCAACTTGCCCAGATTTGGCCCCAGCTGCCACCAAAGTTCTAATTTCTGATGGGTGGAGAGCCACAGAAAATACTGCGCCTTTGGTAACTTTATGAACAGTATCTTCATTAATGACCATGCCACTTAAATTGGCTTTATAGCTGAGGAATAAAAGTTAAATTTCAGAAGTAAAACCAATCAGGAGTCAAAATAACTAAAAGATGACTCAAAAAAGAAAAGAGACACAGTTAGTAAATAGTCAACCTCCTAATAACCAAGGAAATCAAATTAAACAATGGGATACTATTTTTCACTTATAAAAGGTAGCAGGCTGCAGTTAAACATATACATTCATTAACAGTGCTAGTGGCAGAGTAAATCCATACAAGATTTCCAGAAGAAAAAAAAGATTTTAGAAAACAATTCAGCAATGTATATACTAAAAGCCACAAAAATGTCCATATTTGACTCATTAATCTCACTTCTGGAATCTATCCTAAAGAATTAACCCACAATCACACATAAACCCTTAAACATATGAACACATATAACTAAATATGCAACTAACCACAAAAAACTAAATTGAAAATAATTCCAAATACCAGCAGAGTCAGAAAAGATTAAGTAAATGAAATAGTATGTAATTATTCAATAAGTTTAAAAACTCTAGTAACATGAGATTAATATTTTGTAACTATATTAATGAAAAGCATAACGTAAATTTATATATACATTAGAACATAATAAACTAAAAATGTACATGGATTCATTCATTTATTAAATAATAAGTAAATATATATTATGTACCAGGCACCATTTTGGTTATTGAGACAAAATCCCTGCACTTAAGAAATTCATAGCGGTACTACATACAGCAATACTTGAAAGGAAACATACAAAAACAACAGTTGCTAGGGTGGAAATATTATGGGTTATCATTTCATTTCATTTTCAAAACTTCCTGTAATGGTATATAGTCTTTATAATTTAAAGACTGTAGAAAATATAAAACAAAGGCAAGGGATTTTAACTCACCTTTTAATATTAGCTAACTCCTTCTCAGTATTCTTACTACTTGTCTGAAACAATGAAAAAGACCAAGGTACTAAGTTAATACATGTACTGAAATTTCCTTAACAGATAATTCTAAAAGCTGTAAGCCCTTGCATGCAATACCTTGCTCACATTTGCCCAAGTCTGTAGAAATCTTTTAAATAGTTCACTGTCATCATCTCGATTTTCAGGAGTCATTTCTAAAGGCCCAGGAGGTAACAAAGGCTGTTATAAAAAATAAGAAAATAAAGAATGAGAAATAAAACAGGCTGATTGTTGCTCTGCCCTAGAATGTAAGTTTTTCACTACTTTACTTTCAATACCAACAACATAGGTGACACATCATTAGTATTCAAAAACCGTTGTTCAATGAATGATTGCCAGATGTACCCTGTAAACTAATATATGTATTACCCCGTTTAATCCTCATAATAATCCAGTGAATGAGATACCACATTTTAAAAAGATAGCAATGAAACTTAGAGAAGTTACCTTGTCCAAAGTTACACTGCCCAGGAGTTTCTGGGAATGCATTCAGATCAGTTCAATTTCATTACTCAGAGTAAAGTTATTATTCTATGCCAGTGTTTTTTTAAATCATAGGTTGTAACCCATGGATCATAAAATCATTTCAATATATCACAACCAGCAATGTTTTAATGAACAACGAAAGAAAAGAAAATACAAAAAGTACGTCACATGCAGTAAGTGTTAAGTATCATTTCACAAGTGTTGCTTCAGTTGTGTGGCATTAATGAGTTCAATGTAAATACATTTACCATGGGTGGAGGCTTCAGAAAAATTGGAAAGCTACTCTTCCCAAGCACCGTAATTTTCAATTAGCTCCCAAAGCACCAGTCTAATTAGTACTATCTTCTAATTTATAATTAAGCACTTAGATATAAAGTATTAAAAACAGTGGGTGCACTTGAATAAAAAATATCATTATAATATTATTTAGACAATAAACTTGGTAAATAAAACTTTCTATTCACTGATAGTACAAAATTATACTACAGCAAGGGGCTATCACTATTATCACATATTATGCATTATTAACAACATTAATACTACCATTTATTGTTTACTTACTAAGTCCTTAACACAGTATAAAGAACTTTATAGATACTATTTCACTTAACTCCCACAACCTCCTTAAAATTTCTATACTGTTGCCACTTTAAATATGGGGATCCTGGGGCTCAGAAAGGTTAAGTAATTTACCCATAATTCTATAGCAGGTAAGCCTGCAGAAATACAGAATCCAAACTAGTCTTTATGATTTTGAAATCTTACTCATTAAACAAGAAACAGTCAAGTATTAAATTAATGAAGTACAAATTAAACATAATTTAATGACCCTTTAGTTTCAAACATTTCAAACTTTTCAGTATTTTATTAAGTAATATATTATTTTTGCACTTTCTTACATTTTCATCTGCTATTAATGTTGGCTGAGTTGGGGTTGCTGGTAATGACACTCCTGAAGGATCTACTTTTAGTAATCTCATTGACCTTCTACATCCAATTCCATTTTCTCTCTTCTTAGGCTTTTTTCTAAAGGAGTGGGGGAAAAAACCTCAAGTTATAAAACAGTTACATATATTTGTTAATATTAAGGAGATAACTTCCAGGAATGTATCTCACAGATAAACTCACACATTACAAAGATGTATGTACATGACTACACTGATTTTAATTGAACATTTGTGTTTCCATGCTTTTAAATAAAATCATAAATGTTCGGGCGCCTGGGTGGCTCAGTTGGTTAAGCGACTGCCTTCGGCTCAGGTCATGATCCTGGAGTCCCGGGATCGAGTCCCACATCGGGCTCCCTGCTCAGCAGGGAGTGTGCTTCTCCCTCTGACCCTCTTCCCTCTCGTGCTCTCTATCTCTCATTCTCTCTCTCTCAAATAAATAAATAAAATCTTTAAAATCATAAATGTTCATCATGGGGAGGTGAAAGGTGTTAAAATAAATCATGGCATACATCTCTAAAAGAATAATATGCAACCACAGGAAGAATTAAATAGATCTTTGCATGCTGATATGACATGAACTCTAAGATATAAGAAGCAAAAACAAGGTCCAGTACATGTTGAATATACTTTCATTTTTTTTTTAGAAAAAGGTTATATACACACAAACATTTGTACATGCTAAGATTACCTATGGAAGAACATACATGAAACTATTAACAGTGGTTTCTTCTAGAGAGAAGACCTGGAGAACTAAGGTCTAAAATGGAATAGATATTTAAATGTTTCATTGCATTTCCTTCCATATACTCAACTTTTTTAAATCATATACATACCCTACTTTTTTATGCACTGTTTTTTCATTTTAAAAAAGTAGTTCAGAACTTCCAATTTCCAGTTCTACAAATAAGGAACTTGAAATTCACCACTCTTGTCTTTTCAAGCAAAAAGGTGAACAGATTAAAAACTCAATAACTCTTCTAGGATCCTTAAGAGAGGCAAGGACACAATGCAAACTGCTGGCCTCAAAACTGGAGAGACAGACAAATAGAAGGAGTTGTGGCTTACTGGAACAGAAAGTCAAGAACAAAAATCACAAGGGGAACCAATCCCAAGGTAGGAAACCTGAACTGTAACTGACCAGTTGCTGGAGGCTCAGCATGGACAAGTTAAAAACTCCAGAGTGGTCCACACAAAAACCTGCACATGGGTGTTTATAACTTTGTTCATAACTATCAAAACTGGGAAGCAGCCAAGATGTCCTCCACTAACTGAACACATAAATAAACTACAGTACAGCCGAACAATGGAATATTATTCAGCACTAAAAAGAAACGGGCTATCAAACCATAAAAAGACATGGAGGAACTTTAAATACCTATTACTAAGAGAAAGAAGTAAATCTGAAAAGGCTACATACTGTATGATCCCAAATACATGACCTTCTATTAAAGGCAAAACTATGGAGACAATAAAAAGATAAGTGCTACAGTTGAGGGTGGTAAGGTCATGAACAGAGAGAACACAGAGGATTTTTAGGGTGGTAAAAATACTCTATATATTATAATGATGGATGTATGTCATTATACATTTGTACAAACCCATATAACGTACAACACCAAGAGTGAACTCTAAGGCAAACTACGGACTTTGGGTGATTATGATATATCAGTGTGGATTCATCCTTGGTAATAGATGTACCACTCTGCTGAGTGATGTTGATAATGGGGAAGTGTGGGGGCAGACGAACATACAGGAAATCTCTGTACCCTCCTCTCAATTTTGTTGTGTAACTGAAATTGCTCTAAAAAAAGTTTAAAAAAAAAAAACCCCTCAAGGGGGACTCACCCCCAGTATTTTGTGAGATTATACATCCAGGAGCTCAACTAGGTCCTCCATAAATATCAGAGAAAAATCCCCTCATGCTTCCCACAGTGGGAGGGGAAAAAGAACAATTTTGAAATACACCAGAGCACTTTGTTCTTCTTAACAAGGCATGCCCTCAGAAGAACTAGTTAACCAGAGCCTAACCTGCTAGGGTATTATCACAGTTTAACCTGAAAGAAAGGAAATACCCAACTCCAGCCCACTCCTACCATCCTCTCCCACCTAACAGGGGAGGAAAGAAACTAAAACACTCCTTAAGTTCACAGTCCAGAGACAAAGGCTCCCTAAAAAAATGAGACCTAATCACAGGACTATAGAACAGCTTTCTCTCTGTTCAACACCTTTGACACATTACTAAAGGCCTATTTACAACAGTTCCTTTTTCCTAGTACATCATGTCCAGCTATCAAGAAAAAATTACAAGGCACAATGAAAGACAAACAACGCAATTTAAAGAGACAGAGAAAGCTTCAGAACCAGACATGACAGGGATGTTGGAATTATCAGAACAGAAATTTAAAATTTTTTTTTTAAGATTTTATTTATTTGAGAAAGAGAGAGATCATGAGCAGAGGGAGGGGCAGAGGGAGAGGGACAATCAGACTCCCTGCTGAGTGCATAGCCCAACATGGGGCACAATTCCAAGACCCTGAGATCATGACCGGAGCCAAAGTCAGACGCTTAACCGAATGAGTCACCCAGGCACCCCAATCAGAACAGGAATTTAAAACAACTATGATTAATATGCTAAGGTCTCTAATGGATAAAATAAAAACAACTGAAGAACAGACAGGCAATGTAAGAAGAGAGATGGAAATCCTAAGAACCAAAAAGAAATGCTAGAGATCAAAAACACTAAGAAATGAAGAATGCCTTTTTTTTTAAGATTTTTTTTTTTATTTTACAGAGAGAGACACAGCGAGAGAAGGAACACAAGCAGAGGGAGTGGGAGAGGGAGAAGCAGGCTTCCCGCTGAGCAGGGAGCCCGATGCGGGGCTCAAACCGTGGGATCATGACCTGAGCCTAAGTGCTTAACTTAGGCTGAGCCACCCAGGCGCCCCTGAAGAATGCCTTTGATGAGCTTAATAGTGGATAAGACATGGCTGAGGAAAGAATCCCTGAGCTTAAGGATATCTCAATAGGAACCGCCAAAACTGAAAAGCAAGGAGAAAAAAGACTGAAAACAACAAAACAAAACAGAAAAACAGAGGGGTGCCTGGGTGGCTCAGCTGTTAAGCGTCTGCCTTCAGGTCAGGTCATGATCCTAGAGTCCTGGGATGGAGCCCCACATCAAGCTCCCTGTTCAGTGGGGAGCCTGCTTCTCCCTCTCCCTCTGCCACTGCCCCTGCTTGTGCTCTCTTGCTCTCTGTTAAATAAATACATAAAATCAAAAAAAAAAAAATAGAATATCCAAGAGTTGTGGGATAACTACAAAAGGTATAACATAGACATAGTGAGAATACCAGAAAGATAAGGAAAAGAGAAAAACAGAAGATATATTTGAAACAATAGTAACCAAGAATTTCCCCAAATTAATGTCAGACACCAAATCACAGATCCAAGAAGCTATCCCTTCTTTGGCATTATGTGTCTTTATATTTAAAGTAGATTTCTTATAGACAACATGTTTGGGTGTTATACTTGATCCACTCTGACAGTCTCTTTTAATGGGTGCATTTAGACCATTGATGTTCATACTGAGTACTGATATATCTGGATTAATATCTACCATATTTGCATGGTAAAAACTACACCTAGATAAATAACTACACCTACAAAAACTACAAAAAAAAAGAAAACTACCCCTAGGCAATTCATTTCCAAACTAGAGAAAATCAAAGAGAAAGAAAAAATCCTGAAAGAAGCCAGGAGGAAAAAAACACCTTACCTACAGGCAAACAAAGATAAGAACTACATCCATCTTCTCGTAACTATGCAATCAAAAGAGTAGAGTAAAATGTTTAAAGTGTTGAGAGGGCACCTGGCTAGCTCAGTCAGTAGAATATGCAACTCTTGATCTTGGAGTCATGAGTTCAAGCCCAACATTGGGCATAAAGCTTACATTAAAAAAAAAAATTAAGAGAATTTGTTGCCATTAGATGTGCCTTACAAGAAATGTTAAGTTATTTAGAGAGAAGAAAAACAGAGATCAGAAACTCAGATCCACAAAAAGAAAGGAAGAGCATCAAAGAAGGAATAAGGTAAAAAAAAAAAAAATTATTTTCCTCATTCTTAATAACAGCTATCTCAAAATAACAATAGCAACAACGTATTTGGTTATGTACACTTATGTATATATCTTATGAATACATATATATATACATACATACCTATGTATATATATACTTATGTATATTTATATATGTGAAATGAATGACAACAATGATACAAGGGACAAGAAGGAAGAATTAGGATTATTTTGTTATTATAAGGTACTCACACTATACCCCACTCACACCCTGTAGTTGTACACTGTTAAGTGAAAGTGGACTTAGGTTAGTTATATATGTATATTGTAAACTCTAGGGCAATCTCTAAAAAAAGAGGGGAAAAAGTATAACGGATACCTTAAGTAAGAAGAGAAAATGACATCATATAAAATGCTCAATTAAAACCATAAAAGGTGGGGCACCTGGGTGGCTCAGTCGTTAAGTGTCTGCCTTCAGCTCAGGTCATGATCCCAGAGTGCTGGGATCGAGCTCCGCATGGGGCTCCCTGCTCCACCAGAAGCCTGCTTCTCCCCCTCCCACTCTCCCTGCTTGTGTTCCCTCTCTCGCTATGTCTCTCTCTGTCAAATAAATAAATAAATACATCTTTTAAAAATATATATAAAATAAAACCCAAAAAGGCAGAAAAACAGTGGAGACAAAAATAGGAACAAAAAACAAGGGCAATAAGTAGAAAACATTAACAAAGTAGATATAAATACAAATATATCAATACCCATATTAACAAATATGGTAGATATTAATCCAAATATATCAATACTCAATCTGAACATCAATGGTCTAAATGCACCCATTAAAAGAGACTGTCAGAGTGGATCAAATACAACACCCAAACATATGTTGTCTATAAGAAATCTATTTTAAATATAAAGACACATAGGGGCACCTGGGTGGCTCAGTGGTTAAGCGTCTGCCTTCGGCTCACTTCATGATCCCAGGGTCCTGGGATCAAGCCCCGCATTGG